CTCGTCTCTCTTGCCGCCGCACCACACATCGAGTCCTCCACCAAATGGAACCAAGTCCAGTCCGCGCTCCGTGCTCAACTTCCATTGCGCAACATTCACTGGAAATCTGCCTCGCACACATCAATACGTACGATTCAGGAGCTGGATGTTGACCTCGTGCCTCTTGATACCCCACGCGAAGAACACTCCCAAATACCTATGACTTTGTTGGAGAAGCCGCTACTCAATATATATGTTGTTGTATGTCAGGTGTGTTGCAATAATAGATGCCGTGTCAAACGCGTCACCTCATACTCCCCGGCTTGTAGAATACAGATCTTGAGGGGTACAAGACCACAGTGAAGAAGCAGATCAAGGATTGGCACTCTTCCGTAACTACACGCAAGAACCAAGAATGGTTGATTGTACATATTGTACGACCAGACACGCGAATTCAGACCGCAAACTTCTTCAAGGGCTCCGTCCTAGAGAAGATGAAGAGTGACTTCAATACCGACAAGAGAGAAAGGTGAGTATTACTGTCAGAAATTGGGCCCATCTGACTGTAAGCAGATGTGTCCAAGTGGCATGGTCGTCAGAAACCGATGCTGGGCCTGTAGTATGGGCAGAACTCGTCAACAAAATTAAGGACGGCCTTCTCACCGCATTTGACTTGGCGGTAGCACAAAGAGAAGAGGAGGTCAAGCGGTCAGAAGGCCAACGCCAAATGCCTGGATGGAACTTCTGCACGTTCTTCATCCTGAAGGTTTCGTTATTTCCCCTCAGATACCCGAAAGTATGACTCAACTTAACATAGGAGAGTCTTGCAAGCTCATACGAAGGGTTAAATCTTCCTGAAGATGCATATGCTCAGTACGAAGAGCTCGAAGCCTCGTTCTATCACGTTTTGAAGGAAGATAACCTCTCCTGGTTTGGAACGTTCATCACACCCACCAGCGGAGACGATTCTGCTCCTCTGCTCTCAATCAAACGAAAAGCATACCGTGATCTGATACTGGCTAATACAATCTCCATCTTTGACTTCCGGATATATCTTCTTTCTCGGCAGTGTGAGCTATTAGCACAACGCGGTCGCATAGGTGAGATCAGCAAAAAGGCTGCTGCATTTCTGGCCGGTTTTGGCCGACGTTTACGGGACGTAGAGGTAGATCATAGCTTCTGTGCGTCTTGTCTCTTGTCTGACTAACTTACTTCTAGGAAACATTACCACCGTTTTTCATCGAATCATGGATATATTCATCCGCGCTTACTTCTGTAGAATATTGTGACAATTGGGCATCGAGGTTTTCTATCACCGGGACTAAGCTGAACTCCTTCGATGCTGCAAAAGGCGAACTTCTTGATCTGGCTCGAACACAGGTACATAATAAGCTCGTTCCGCCTTAAAGCAATCTCTGACTTTACTTTCACCCAGCTCGATATAATTGGTGTAACCGTCGGGTACCTTCCGCAGAAGCCACCGTTCTCGTCATCTTGCAGAACGTCTGAACAACGGGTCAAGACCACTTCAACACTAAGCATCAGTAACAACGACCTTCTCAAGGCTATTGACGATGCTGAGGCTTTTTACAAGCTTTACGTCGACGCCACGAACCGTGCAATAGAACTATACACCAAAGCTGGTCGACGCAAGTTTGCTCTGCGACTGCATGGTAGCCTTGCTGCTCTTGACCTGTAAGTCCATCCTTTGGTTCACGTTGGACTTGAGTCTTACAGGCGCTCCAGGCATCGTGGGGAATTCCAGAATGCATTATCAATTTACACGTCGCTTCCTGCTCACTATGCGCCCCATATGTGGTCATCTCTCGAAGCGTTCATGTTGTCCAAAGCTCTTGATACTCACGCGGACTATCAACAAGAGAAGGATACGGAGTGGATACACATTCTTTTATCATTCCTCAAATCCTATATTGACAATTTGGGTGCGGAATTATTGATGCATGAAGAGGATCGAGTGGAGTATATCACCAGACTCGTGGACGGTCTCCATCAAGCTGCTGCAAAGCTCGAATCAGGTATACATATCATCAGACAGATTGAGATCATTATGAGATATAATTAATGTTCTTCGTAGATTTGGCACATCCAAATCATCCTGCCGTGACGCTGAAAGTGTCGCCAAATGCTCGAATAGCGGAGACGAAGGATGGCTGTTTCCTAGACGTAACAGCACACAATCATCTACCCTGTGTAAGGCAATAACTCAACAATAATTCGTCATTTCTGATTGTGTATGCGGTATAGATCCTTCCAGCGGAAACAATCAGTATTGTTCTTGCAGGCAGAGATTCGGAGCGATGTACATTCTCTACATTGATTACAGGGTTACCTTCGGGAAAAACAACACTTACCCTTTTTTGCCCCGTAAGTTCTCTCGGCGTCATCTGCTACCGTTATCTGATGTTTTGCTTCAGGCCGTAGCAGCAGGAACTTACTTGCTTGACTCCAGTGAGCTACGGGTAGCGAAGTTATGTCTCCAATGGCAGTATCGAAAACCTCCTTCCAAGATACCCTCAATGCGAAGGGAAACGCCTGTCCTTGTATATGTTCCAAAAGATCTTCTTGCGCTGGGCGTGAACGTTAGTCAACCCGATACAAGTAATTTTGTTTTTCTCGTTTGGTCACGGACTTTTGATCATGAACACCCTTGCGTAGTTGAACTTGGTGAACCTCCAACACTTCTTGTCGCTGTCGCCACAGGCCGGAATCATATCTTGAAAGCCATTGTCAAGCTCGCCTCGTCTGGTGTGACCTTCGAGCCAAAGGATGCGTACTACTACAGCGGAGGTGGGGGGTTTTGCTTTAGCATTCATCTATTGAGTTGACAGCGAGACCGTAGAGAAGAGATCAGAGCGGCTGCAGGTCGTTGATAACTCTATCGTCCTCGAGGATATTCCAGAACACACGACCGTTTCGTTCACGATACCACACTCGGATACTTCAGCTTTCCAGGCGATGGTGCAGAATTTTGACGTGTTTGATATTATAAGCCGCTGACCGAGACAACAGAAAATCACCACGGAGGTTAAGTATATGACTGCACCCGAGCCATCGCTCTCTCGGACGATACAGACGACTCAAGTGATTCTGACTACTCTCCCAATATCTGTCAATGTTGAAGATTTCTTCCGTGGCTCTCGGTATGGAATTTTCATTCCTTCTGTGCCTCCAGTGTCCAAATGTGGGACTTTTCAGGCTCTTTTCCAAATTTGCGATATCAACAACAAGTCACCAGCATGTCCGTATATGTGCTGCTCAACTGATGACTCAGGAAGGTGGACTCGATGGAGTCAAGATTTCGCCTACTGCGACCAAAAATCGCGGAGTCATGGTATGTTGGTTGTAACTTCGTTGGACGAATTCGAATGACTTCTGTATAACAGACTGTCACTCCCGTTCAACCGGTGAATTTCTTATTCCACATCGATTCTACTCATGGTCCGGGTCTGTCGAGTTCCGAACTGGATTGAACGTAGTTAATCTCCTCCTCAGTCCGCGAATCGTTAAGTCTACTAATACGATATCGTATGTTACGGGAAGGTGCACCATTTTCTCTGCTGGATCTATCAGGTTACTCATCTTCTTCCTTCATAGAGGTCGAGGCCGTGGTGGACAAAATTGTCGCACAAGTGGTCGTGGCCTCGCCCTCGCTTCATACAGCTCTTATCAACCAGCTTGTCGAGGCGTTGGAAGGCGATGCCGGATGGGTTGACCTGTATGGGATAACAGGGGAACTCAAAGTTCCTGATACCCCCAAGGACACAGCGAACGAAGAGACTGCAGAGTTGCTCAGGAAGGCGAAGGAGGTTCGGGATTCTTTTCTAAAAACCCTTATCCATTATGACAATTCCATCTAGCTTCTCAAATACCACAGACACCCTAGTCCACCTGAAGGCAAATGGAGGGAGATCAAAATACCAGTTGACGTGCCGTATATGAACGTATGCTAGGATTCACCATGTCATTCAACCTCTTATTGCTAATTCCGTTATCGTTCAGATTGTGGCTTCTGTCAGCGTACAAATTCGGTCGACACCGTTCAGCAACTCGTCTGTCAAATCGAGTTCTCTGCCGCTCTATGCAGGGCAACCAATGTCTGCAACCATTTCAATTCACACATCCTTCCACTGGGGCTCTGGTACGGGGGACAAGGAACGTCGATACATGCTGAGATATGACGTGGAAGAGATGGTACGGGACTGGCTTGTGAGTGGACCAAAACGCGGGGACTTTACTGCTGCTGTAAGTTGTCTTGTTACGTTTCATGGCGCCAACTGATGATCATCTTTTTCTTGTGAACAGAATGGGGAGACTAAGGTAGTACCCATAACGCTCATTGCGCTTCATCACGGGGAGCTGGCGTTACCCAAGGTGTCAGTGACAGCGCTGCCAATGGATGGCGAGCTGACGATGGGTTCGATGGCGGTACCCAGCATAGAGACATTTCAGATTCACGGAGCTGAGACGGCGTTGGTCCTTCCTCGGGGCGGTAGGAGTACATTTGTCCTCAATATGGGCTCTAATTACAACTAATTTGTATTTGTGTCAAACTTCTTTTCCGACTATCGAGCGGCAAGTAGAGTAGAAGGTTTGTTGACGGAGAACTCGAGGCGGAGACGTCTGATAAGTATTTGATGGAGTATGAAGCAAAAAAGCGTCACCTGAGCGATTCGAACACTCGCGCACAAAGTGCAACCGCTTGTATGTCTAGCAGGCGATCCCGTTAACCACCCCGGCAAAGTGACGATATTAAAAAAGAAAAATAATGCCAACAGCATTGGCAAGCTTCAAGGTATCCTTCTCAACCCCGAGAAGTGAATCTGAAGCCGGTGACTGTATGCAGGAATGAAGGGAACACCTTGTGAGAATCATATGCCCAATTATTCACAAAGCGATCGATCTGTTAACGTTCCTACATTTAGAGGCTCCAATTGGTACACTGGAACCAAAAGTACTTCGATGGCTGATACATGGATGACCGGCTCAAAAATGCAAAAACACGTCACCTGAGCGATTCGAACACTCGCGCACAAAGTGCAACCGCTTGAATGGAGATAGCAGGCGATCCCGTTAACCACTCCGGCAAAGTGACGATGTCAAGCAGAAAAATAGGAAAGGCCGATTGTGGAAGTATATGCGCCACATCCTAACGTTCCTCGAAGAATAGTCGGTGATTTTGAATGATCCAACCTCTTGCAACAGAAGCTGACAGTTCAAGGCACAAATATGGCATTCATTACATTGGCTCACTCGCAAGATGAGGGCGATACTTATCGAGGACCGGCACGGCACTTTGACGTCACACCGCTTGGTGACTGATGTTGAATCGCATTACCCAAAAAGAAATCTCCAGATGAGTGAGGGAGAAAAGACGTCACCTGAGCGATTCGAACACTCGCGGGCAAAGCCCAACCGCTGATCAGCTATATAATAGCAGGCGATCCCGTTAACCACTCCGGCAAAGTGACCATTGTCAAGGATAATTGAGGAGCACTCACGGAAACGATTTTGGAAATGAAAGATTGTTTTGTGGTTTTCCGTTTTGCGGTCCCACAGAGGGACGGGATGCATTATATAATATGAGAGAGCGAGCTCGACGCGAGAGGATGAGGTATAAGATTAAGCCCAGAGGACATGTGACCGCGACTTTCGGCACGAAACGCGTTCGGTATTCATCCCGTCCCTCCTTTCTGTGGACTGTCGGAGATTGGGGTGGACGCACGTATGTACCTAGAATAGACACCTGCCGTATACCATCAGGAAAGGAACGAGTGCAACATTACTCCGTATGCCTGGATACTATGTCGCCCTGCGAGCGCCACCAGCGAGTGTGTTCCAGGCAGCAGCGTTTCGACCTAATCGAGATAAGACGGAGGCAAAAATACAGGCGGAAAGCAAAATACCCTTTATAGAAATAACTGAAAAAAATTTCGTACCCTACGCTGAAAAATTCCGTCACCTGAGCGATTCGAACACTCGCGGGCAAAGCCCAACCGCTTAGCAGGCGATCCCGTTAACCACTCCGGCAAAGTGACCTGCAAATGGAGGCGTATCGATTCGAGGTGACCCGGTCGCAACAACTCGGAAAGAAGGAAAAGACAGCAATAAGACGGACGTACTAGCAATGGTTGAACATTACTATATTGTACACATACAAATCCACATCCAAGATTGATTCCCTTGTAAATTTAACCTTTTAATGATAATTTATGCTTCCGTTACGACAGCAGTCGCAGGTGCTTTTGTTTCCTGCTCAATAAACTCGCGCATGTAGGCAACGAGTTGGTCCGTCCACTCGTCCGTGACGGCATTATAAAGCGACGCACGCATCCCACCGACCGAGCTGCACCCGAAGAAAAATTAGCAACTATTTCATCCCGAAAAAGAAAAGAACCAAAGCCCACCGGTGTCCTTTAAGCCCCTTGAGCCCCCTCTTCTCCGCGCCCTCCAAGAACCTCTTCTCCCCATCCACCCCATTAACCCCAAACGTCACATTCATCCAGCTCCCCTGACCCTCCCTCACCTTTGGGCTGAAAACGCCCTTCTCCTTCCCCTCCCACAGCACCTCATATACCTTTTCCTTCTTCTTCCTATTAAACTCCTCATAGTACCTAACCCCGCCAAGCGCCTTGCTCCTCTTCAGCACGAGCCCCACGACGTACACCGCAAACACGCTGGGGGTGTTGGGCATCGAGTCGTGCTTCGCATACGGCGCGTACGTCAGCGAGATAGGGACGGGGTACCCCCCAAACTTGAGCGACGCATCCACATCGACTATACAGTCCTTGCGCACAATAACGATGCTCGTGCCCGCGGGCCCCAAGTTCTTCTGCACACCAGCGAAAATGATCGCGTGGTCCGCAAGGCGCGGGATCGGACGGCTCATGAAGGACGACGAGTAGTCGCCCACGAGCGGGAGGAGCGGCTCGTCCGGCAAGAGATGGAACGGGAACGCGTTCGGATCTTGTTGGGCGTCTGCGCTCCCTGAGAACTGTGTCCCCGACACGGTCTCGTTCTCGCAGTAGTATATCAGCACGGGGTTGGGTGAGAAGGTGTAGGCCGCGTGGGGCGGGAGACCGTCGAACGAGTTGCCGTCTGCAGAGTGTGGGCGGGAGTCGGCGGCGATGCGCACGGTGCAACCGTGCGCGAGGCGGGTGGCTTCGGCGTATGAAGCTTTCGACCATGTCCCGCTGAGGACGTAGTCTAGCACGCGGTCTTTGTCCTGTAGGTCCGGGTGCAGGAGGCGGTGTCTCGCGAGGAGATTGAGGACGACGGCAGAGAACTGGGTCGTTCCGCCGCCCTGGAGGAAGAGGATCTCGTGTGTCGGGGGCACATCGAGCTGCTCGCGGATGAGCTGGGCGGTTTCTCTGATGTATGCGTTAAACTCTTTTGAGCGGTGGGAGATTTCGGCGATGCCGATGCCTGTGTCGTTGAAGTTGAGGAGGCCCCCTGCGGCTTCGATGAGGACGGATTCGGGCAGCGCGGACGGGCCGGCGCCAAAGTTTGCTACGCGGTTTTCAGTCATGGGTGGAGTTGGAGTTTTTTTTGGTGAGTCTTTTTTTTTTTTTACAAGTCACGGAATATTGGTCATCTCGACAATTGAGTCACCGGCTTGAGTTCGAATTGAATCATGGGATATCTATACAGAAGCCGACGATGTAAATACGATAAGAATGGCAGTCCATGCTGTCCGGGAACGGAACATTTGGGAAAGTACGACGGAAGCCTGCGTATCAAACGGAGCAAAGGATGAGAGCAGCAGCATTATGCTGAGCATGATAGCGGATCGGACGGGTAACAAACAGGTCAGGAATAAATGAGGAAATATACAGTAGTATGTGTGCTCGGAGGGGGCGAGTACACTACGTATTCGAGTTAGATGTATCTAATAATGGAAACAGAGATTGGCATGATATTGCGTGTGTTGCGATGAGACATTGGACAATGCTGAGATGAGGGAATGTGCGAATGGAATATACAGATGCAGGATAAGAGAATATTGGCACGGAAAAGGCGGGAGAAGGGAATGGCACGTGAGACACGGGCACGGACATGAATGAACGAAGGTTGAAAGGGGGGCTGAGACCGGAGATGCAGATGTGGTGATGTGATGGCAAAGGTTGCAGTAACGAAGGCGAAGACACGAAGGCGAAAACATCGAACGAGATCAGTTGAGTCGGGGGGAGAGCAGATGGAAAAAGGAGGGCTGAAGGGGACTAGAAGTACAGGGATCATGGCCGAGATCGTCGTTAGAGGATTCACAAAGCACAGGCATAAGATTGTGGAAAAGCACGCGGGACGGGATGAAACGAGAGAGGGGAGTTGTGGGACGCGAAGTGACTGCTCGCGACAAAGCGGGGATATCGCATGGAGGTGATGGTGAGTTGGCTCGAGGGGGTGTTTGGATGAGATCCGGAGGGGCACGACGCGTCATGACCTGCATCTTTGGGCGACGGACGCTGGAATCGGGTATTTGTGAGAGATCGGCAATGTCCCAGAGGCCGCTGGGTGTGGCGTCGAGGGCGGCGATCCAGGGGAGCTGGTCGAAGGGGTGGATGGGGATTGGCTCTGTGGGGCGCGTGGGACGGTGGGACGTGCGGCGGCGGGTGGAATAGGGCTTTGGGCGGCGGCGGGTGCAGGGGGATCGTTGGGAATGTGTGGCGACGGCGGGAGATGGGGCGGGTGTCGAGCACAAGGAGACGGGGGCGCGGCGGGGCTTGGGCTGCGGGAGAAAGTCAGCAGCGGGGGCGAGAGAGGCAGTCGCGCGGGCAGGGCGAGGAGACAGAATGGCAGGCATGAGCAGTTGGTCAGAACAAGGCGTTTTATATACACATCATATCCAGGTCAAATCTCAAGAAACCCCCGAGACAATCCCAAATATGGTCACGCCCCATATAGAATCCATCATCTCCGTATGTATCTTCGATCCGCCGACCCTGCATTCAATCCCGGTCTTTATATCCCTCTATATCCTCTCCATTGTTCCAACGCTCCTCGAACAATAGAATTTTCAATCCTGCCTCACATGTGCGGTCGGCACGGAGCACTGCCACCCCCCTTGGTCTGACTCTGAGCTCACACACCTCCCCCCTGACTGATGATATCCGCCGTCGATTCTTGGCTTCTTCATCAGTTTTTTTTGTACATGTATCTATCGTCACAACGTCTATCCCTTAGCCGACATATATTTATCACTGAATTGAACGCCGTCCCTCGCGAATCCCTCCCATCAATCGCTTAACCGTGCTGCACGCGTCGCGCCTACTCACATCGATGCGTGTGTCCTGTCCTACTCCTATCGAGCCACTTTCCCAAATCCGATTTTCATTGTCCTCGTTCGCCGCGTCAGTCGCGTCGTGACAGTATCCATCTCCGTATGATTCATCCATCCATCTGCCTTCGGCCCCTGACTACACCATTGTCAAAAAATGAAACCATGATCATGATCGCGAAATTTTTATCCTCCCACCTAACGTAACCTAACATGGGTCGACGGCGATGTTCAGTGCTTCTTTTTTTCAAAGAAAGTGATGACGGCAACATGTACCGCGAGTGAAAACAACCCCTATTGGAAAACGTGGTAACCAAAGACAGCTCGACGCATCCACGATCGCTTAAAATCAAGAACATGCTCGATTGTGGTTTAGTCATCCCAGGACCGCACGGGTACTCTTTTCCTCGGTAAGAATACGCACCCTATGCCCTATCATTCAAATCCTGCGCAAAAGACGCGTCAGATTATGACAGTTCTCAGAGAATCACACATCACAAGGGGTTCATCATATCAAAAGTCCTCAACACTCACGATTAACGACCGCAGAGTTATTTTTCCAGCCTCGTAAAATACATACCCTGTACCCCATCATCCATCCACTCACAAATCCGACGAGAAGACGCGTCAAATTATGCAGGATCACTCATCACAAGTGGCCCATTGTCACCGTATCAAGACTCATATCATGCCAAGTATGTATCCCATTCCCATCCTCACTCAAACTCTGACTCGGTACGTTCCCACATCTCATGCATCAGCGCCGCCGAACAGTTTATGTCCCCGGCGTCATCTGACAGAACCTGTGTTTTATAGAATCA